CTGGGCCCCCAGAGGGGTCAGCCAGGGAGACTGCTACAGGCCGACTGAGCGGCGTGAGCGTGGTGCTGTCTCGAAAGAAAGAGCGCGAAGCACCAGAGTCAAGTGTGAAAGTGTGCAAGGCCTCAGTAGGTGCAGTACTAGAGAGAGCAGACTCACCAGCACCTGGAGCAGCAGACTCACCAGTACCTGGAGCAGCAGACGCACTAGCACCTAGAGCAGCAGCCTCAATGCCCGGGTCGGGCGGGACACTCAGGTAACAGTCACCCTCAGCACTATCAGTCAAAGCATACATGGCAGCAAGGATAGCATCGAAATCAAGATCAAAGATAGCAACATTCTTCCTAAGCAGATCACCCCAGCGAGGGAGCTCAACAGCGTCAGGAAACTGGGTGCGCCAGGCGTCAGTCAGGCGACCGAAGCAGCGCTGCGTAGTGTGGGACAGCCCGCACGTCTCCCCACGACGACTGCCGGTGCGAAGAACGTAAGTGCAGGGACCAGCACCCCCAGACCTCCCACGAAGTTGCTGGGCCGACGGGGTCTCACGGGAACGCGGCTGCTGCTGGGGCTGGCTACCACCAAAGCCTCCTCGCTGCGCGGCTGCAGCTCGACCAGCACCACCGCCACCTACGCCAGCGCTGCCACTGCCTCCACCATCGCTGCCGCTGCCTCCACCACCTCCGCCGCTGCCTCCACCACCGCCACCGCCGCCACTGAAGCCCCCACTCCCGGCACCACCCCCACCTCCACCGCCACCCCCTCCGCCTCCTCCACCGCCTCCGCCGCCGCCCCCTCCGTCCCCCCCACCACCCTTGCTCCCCTTGCCCTTGCTGTTGCGGCGTCTCCCACTAGGGGCAGACGCAGCACCGACCTCCTCAGTGCCAACGAGGTCGACAGTAGAAGCAGAAGCAATAGAGGGGAGAAGCGGGACAGGGGAACACCCCTCAAAGAAAGGGGTGCGACGGTCGCCGCGAGAAGCACCTACAGCTAAGATACTCTTCTCAGCTGCAGCTAGGCGCTCCTCTAGCAGGTCAACAGTGAGCTCGGTGGGGCAAAGGGAGAGAAAGTGGTCCCTGACTGAAGAAAGGGAGTCAAGGAGGCGGGTGACTAGGTAGTAAAGGGTGATGTACATGGGGGGGGGGGTTCTTGGCACAGAACTCAGTGGGAAGGGCAGCGCGGTAGTGGGCGTCACTAGTGCGGAGGTGAGCAGTGAGGTCAGCGACTGTGGCAAAGGCGGCAAGGTCAGGGAAAAGGTACGGCAGCATGAGGCGGCTGAGGGCAGCAGTGGCAGGGGAGGAGTAGCGCGCACCTACAGCGTCGTACAAAGCCTTAGCAGTCTTGTACTGGCCAAAATGCGCGCGCTCAGCAGGCGGCAGGTGACTACGAACAGCAAGGCGAGCAACAGCGTCACGAGTGGTCCACTGCGAGCGAACAGTACTGTCACCAGTGGCAGCAGGAGCAGCGGAGACACCGGACGTGTGATCGAAAAGGGATACCCCATCCCTAGAGTCACACTGGAGAAAGAGCTGCAGGTCGTCAACCCACACGTCAAACTCAACCGCACGCCCCTCAGCATCAAAGGTGAGAACAGTGGGGCTAGCCATAGGAGCAGTAGCAGCAGTAGCCGCAGTAGCAGCAGGAGCAGCAGAGGCAGCAGAAGCAGCAGCGGCAGCAGGCGCAGTGCAAGGAGAAGGGCTGCGCGGCTCGGTTTGGCGGCGCGGTTCGGCCAGGCGGCGCGGCTCGGTGGGGCGGCACGGCTCGGCTGGGCGGCGCGGCTCGGTTCCTGGCGGCGCGGCGCGGCAGCAGGCGGCGCGGCGCGGCAGGGCAGCAGGTGGCGGGGCGGCTCGATTGCTTACCAGGGGCGGGTGCAGGGCAGGGCCGCAGCTGGCGGTTTTAGGTCAAGGCCGCGGCAGGAGGCGGCTGTAGGGCAGGGCCGCGACCGGGGGCGGCTGCAGGACAGGGCCGCAGCAGGCAGCCGTGCCGTGACGGGCGGGCCGGAACAGGCGGTCGACAGGCGGCAAGAGGGGCCGTGACGGGCGGCAAAGGGGCCGACGGGCGGCTAAGGGGCCGTGACGGGCGGCTAAGGGGCCAGCGGGCGGCTACGGGGCCGACGGGTGGCTAAGGGGCCGCGACGGTCGGCTAAGGGGCCGACGGGCGGCTAAGGGGCCGACGGGCGGCTAAGGGGCCAGCGGGCGGCTAAGGGGCCGACGGGCGGCTAAGGGGCCGCGACGGGCGGCGAAGGGGCTGACGGGCGGCTAAGGGGACGACGGGCGGCTAAGGGGCCGACGGGCGGCTAAGGGGCCGTGACGGGCGGCTAAGGGGCCGACAACGGGCGGCTAAGGGGCCGTGACGAGCGGCGAAAGGGGCCGAAGGGCGGCTAAGGGGCCAGCGACGGGCGGCAAAGGGGCCGTGGCAGGCCGAAAAGGGGGGCCGCGACAAAGGGGCCGACGGGCGGCTAAGGGGCCAACGGGCGGCAAAGGGGGCCGCGACGCGTGGCGACGGGCCAGCGACGGGCGTCTAAGACAGGGCGCGATGCGCGCTTCGGGCAGGGCAGGAGAAATTTCGTGGTGGGCCCTAAAAAGACGTTCCCACTAGGAAACCTGCTCAGAATACCATGTTAGAATCAGGAACGGAATGAATGAACTAGGCAGCAGGTGGGTACAAGTATGAAAAACCTAAAAGTGTTGTACCCTGTATTGACTACCCCACTACAGCCTAGATAGACAAAAGCAGATATGTTTTGACAGAAGTAGCCGCGCTGCAGTCGTCGATCCGGAATATATCGATGACCTTGATGACAAACTTGCATTTTCCGCAACTTCTTCCCGATAGCTTTTTGGATCGATGGCTTTTCTGTTGGCTGGTGTCAGAATAATGAACGAGAATGGATGAACTAGCAAAGAGTTGGGTACAAGTACTAACCCTAATTGGGTTGTACCCCTTATGGGCTACCCCCCACTACAGCCTACACAATGTAAGCTATATATAAGTTTGACACACCCCCATAGGCAAAGTGGGGGAGAACAAGTGGTCACAAGACCATTCAAGAAAAGCAAAGCAAGCTCAGGGTGGATCACAAAGTCACCACACAGTCCGAGCACAAGCAAAGGGCCACAAGGCCAGTTCACAAGCAGAGTTATATATAAATGAGAACAAACAATACAGTGATCATACCTTAGCAAGTGCAAGCATGCAGGAATATATAAAGATCAATGTACAAGTAGAATCAAGCAGTAAGCAAGTGAGGCAAAGTAGGCACAAGGCCTAACACAGTAGAGAAGCGCTGATGATCACCAGACTGAAGTGCCTTGGTAAATATATCAGCAGTGTTGGCCCTAGTGGCCACGTACGCAAGACGAAGCTGGCCACGCTGCTGCAACTCTCGACCAAGGAAGTATCGCAGAGCGATGTGCTTTGTTATGTGCTCCAGTCTGTGCTCCTGACACAAGGCAATCATGGCCTTGTTGTCTACGTACAGAACTGGAGGCGAACGAGGCTGCTCTCCCAAGTCAGTCAGCAAGTAGGTGAGCCAGCGTAGCTCCTGTGCAGCCATGGCCCCGGCGTAGATCTCAGCCTCACAACTGGAGTTGAGAACTGAAGACGAGCGGGTAGACCGCCAAGAAACAGAGCTGGAACTGAGGCCAAAGGTGTAACCCTGTGACGACCGCTGCGTAGCTGAGTCGTCAACCCAGGAAGCGTCTGCGTGACCGGTGAGGACAACTGGACCCCGTCCTCCAAGCACGAGCCCCATGCCTGACGTACTGCACAGGTAGCGCAGTACCCTCTTCGCAACATCCCAGTGCACCTTTCGGTGCCTACCGGGAGCCACGTAGCAAGCCAGAAGGCTGAGAGGGTACGCGAGGTCAGGTCGTGTGCACGTCATCAGGTACATGAGGCAACCTACAAGCTCTGGGTACGGACCACTCGGCTCTACGGACTCATCCGAAGGTGGAGCTGAGAGTGAGTGGCTGGTAGACAGAGGAGTGGGCTGTGGCGAGGAGAACTGGAAGTCGAAGCGCTGAAGGACCTGGTGCACCATGTGTGACTGAGTCAGGGTGATGGTGCGCCGTGCTCTATCCCGGGTGATCTGCAAGCCAAGATAGCTGCGCAGTTCACCCAGGTCAGTGCAGGTGTGTCTCTTCTGCAGCTCGGACTTCACAAGGGTCAATGCCTCAGTGTCAGCAATGGCAAAGACGAGGTCGTCGACGTACACGAGGACGTAGAACGGCGGCAGCAAGGTGTCGGTGCGTAGAAACAGCGTCGGGTCAGCAGTAGAAGGAGCAAACCCAAGAGCCGCAAGTGTAGTCCTCAGTGTGTCGTGCCACTCGCGAGGCGCCTGGCGGAGACCGTAGACTGGCCGCTGTCATGAGACGAACTTAGCTAGGAACGGGTTTAACTAAGGGCCTAGGCTTAGTAGCCTAGGCCAAGCGGGTGTCGAGGGAGTTGTGCCAAGAGAGAATCGAGAATGTGTGTCTTCACTATAGGTTTGCAAGAACATATAGCAAAGAAACAAAGAGGTGCACCACCACAACAAAGAAACATAACTACACTAAAGCTAAAGCTACAGGCAGTTATAAACATATATAAATATATATCGCGACACACCCCCTTAACTGCCTGCAGCACATAGCTAGAGCAAGTCACACCCCCTGAAGGGGCAGGTGCGGTGGGAGACGGCAGAGGGGTACGTGAGGAGGAGGAGGCAAGAGGAAGAGAGGAGAGGAGAATAGATAAGAACACAGGAGGAGGTGAGTGGGGGATGAGGAGAGGAGGTGGGGGGTGGCCGCAGCGTCCCCTCTTACTAACCCCCTTTTACGAAAGGGGGGGTTGAGTGGGGGATGAGGAGAAGAGGTGGGGGGGTGGCCGCAGCGTCCCCTCTTACTAACCCCCACATCCCCACCCCCAACCAACCACCCGCCCTCAACCTCACCCCCCATTTCAGTCGCCCCCTGGAACCGCACTCCCTCCACCCCTGTCTTCCTCCATACCTCTCCCAACCCACGATGGTCCCTGTACAGTCTTTCACAGGTGGGCTGCTGGGCACAGGTGGGGCTGCTGGTCACAGGCGGGGGCTGCTGGTCACAGGTGGGGCTGCTGGTCACAGGTGGGGCTGCTGGTCACAGGTGGGGCTGCTGGTCACAGGTGGGGCTGCTGGTCACAGGTAGGGCTGCTGGTCACAGGTGGGGCTGCTGGTCACAGGTGGGGCTGCTGGTCACAGGTGGGGCTGCTGGTCACAGGTGGGGCTGCTGGTCATAGGTGGGGCTGCTGGTCACAGGTGGGGCTGCTGGTCACAGGTGGGGCTGCTGGTCACAGGTGGGGTTGCTGGTGCTGGTGCTGGCGGCTGGCGCTGGTGCTGGTTCCTGGTGCTGGCAGCTGGCACTGGGGCTGGTTCCTGATGCTGGCGGCTGGCGCTGGGGCTGGTTCCTGGTGCTGGCGGCTGGCGCTGGTGCTGGTTCCTGGTGCTGACGGCTGGCACTGGGGCTGGTTCCTGGTGCTGGCGGCCGGCGCTGGGGCTGGTTCCTGGTGCTGGCGACTGGCGCTGGGGCTGGTTCCTGGTGCTGGCGGCTGGCGGTGGGGCTGGTTCCTGGTGCTGGCGGCTGGCGCTGGGGCTGGTTCCTGGTGCTGGCGGCTGGCGCTGGGGCTGGTTCCTGGTGCTGGCGGCTGGCGCTGGGGCTGGTTCCTGGTGCTGGCGGCTGGCGCTGGTGCTGGTTCCTGGTGCTGGCGGCTGGCGCTGGTGCTGTTCCGCCACCACTCCCTTCCCCTCCTCTCTCTCCTTTCCACAGCGTCCCACCGCCACTCCCTTCCCCTCCTCCCTCTCCTCCCCATGGCGACCGCCGCTGCACACGCAAACAGACGCGACGGGGGGGGGGGGGGGGGGGTGACGGGCAGGGGGCGGGGGGAATGCGACGAGCAGAGCGGGCGAATGAGCGGCTGGGGCGATCGCCAGTGCTCTGGCAATCGTCGCTGGCGTTCCCCCGTCACTCCTATCCCCTCTTCCCTCTCGCCCCCACAGAGTTCCGCCGCCACTCCCATCCCTTCTTCCCTCTCCCCCCCACAGCGACCGCCGGTACGACGGGCGAGGTGCAAGGTGGCGCTGGCTGCAGTCGATGGCGCAAACGCGATCGCGGGCCGCTGGCGACTTCGCTGGCGGGTCGCTGGCGGCGGGTCCGCTGGCGTTCGCCATAGCGTCCGCCGCGCCCGTCGCGCTGAGAGCCGCGACGAGGCAGGAGACGGGGGGCAGCGCGAGCAGCAGGGAAAAAAAAAAAGATACGCAAGGTGCGGATTTCGCGCCACTAACTGTAGCAGTCGCGAAATGTGGTGGGCCCATAAACGAAATAGGTCCTAGGACGGACCACTCTGTTACCATGTCATGAGACGAACTTAGCTAGGAACGGGTTTAACTAAGGGCCTAGGCTTAGTAGCCTAGGCCAAGCGGGTGTCGAGGGAGTTGTGCCAAGAGAGAATCGAGAATGTGTGTCTTCACTATAGGTTTGCAAGAACATATAGCAAAGAAACAAAGAGGTGCACCACCACAACAAAGAAACATAACTACACTAAAGCTAAAGCTACAGGCAGTTATAAACATATATAAATATATATCGCGACAGCCGCCGGAGGCTCCACTGGGTACCTGCAGGAAACGACCCAGTGAAGCCAGGTGGGCGGCGCAGCCAGATCTCCTCGTGCAGGCTGCCTTGCAAGGAAGCTGTGTTGAAGTCCAGAGAGTGCAACTCGTAGTCACGCTGAGCAGCGACGTGCAGCAACACCCAAAGAGTAGTCATCTTCGGGGTGGGGGAAAAGGTCTGGAAGTAGTCAACCCCCTGTCGCTAACTGAAGCCTCGAGCAACGTAACGCGCCTTGAAGGCAGGCGGAGAGCCCGGCGGCCGCTTCACCATGAAAATCCACATGCCATCGACTATGTTCGCCCTAGGTGGGGGAACCTCATCGACGTAGGTGCCTGTGGACTTCCAGGATGCCATCTCGGCATCCATGGCTGCCTGCCACTGAGAGGAGTAAGGACCCGTAATCGCCTCTGCGTAAGAGCGCGGGGTCGGGATGTCTGGTGCATCTGGGTCTCCCTCAGGAGCAAGCAGCATGGACGCGAAACGAGGTACAGCAGATGCAAGCCACTCAAAGTCCTCCTGCCTGTCCTCAAGGACGTCCGTGCCAAGAGCACACTCACCCCCGACAGACGCAGGACTGGCAGACGCAGACTCAGCAACAAGAGCAGTGGCGTAGTCTAGATGACAGGCAGCAGCAAATTCAAGCAGCTCAACAACGAGTGCAGACGCAGCAGCAGACTCAAAGGAAGGGTCAGTGACAGCAGTGGCAAGGAGACGAGAGACAGTGGGACTGGCAGCACGAGCGTGGTCAGACTCAGGGTCAGGGACCTCAGGAAGAGAGGACTCAGGACGAGCAGGCAGAGGAACACGCAGTGGAACAGAGGAAGGACGAAGTGCCATAGCGTGCGTGCCGGGGACAGGAGGAGGACGCGAACGAGGAACGCGATGAGCAGTGCGAACAGGCGATTCAGGACAAGACGCAGGCTCACGACGCTCTGTAAGACCGCTGGACTGCTCAGTGTAAGGAGAAGGAGCAGGCAGTGGAGAGGCTGGCTGTAACGGCGGGTGCGACTGGTCAGGCGGTGGACACGGGAGGGGAGGAGTAAGGCCAGTAGAAGACGGGACACAAAGAACCTTCTGAAGCAGGGGAACAAAGTACGGTCGCGGCCGCACAGTGCCGCCAGGGTCAACAGCTCCAGCTCCTCCAGCTCCAGCACCTCCCGTGCTAGAGCGTCCAACTCCAGCGCCTCCTGCGCCAGTGCCTCCAACTCCAGCTCCTCCAGCTCCAGCGCCACCAGCGCCAGAGCCGCCAGCACCAGCAGCTCCTGACTCCGTAGGGTCTCCAGCTCCAGCACCCCCAACACCACCAGTCGTGGCAGCTCCATTACCCCGGGTACGAGCACCTCCAGGACCACTAGCCACAGTACCTCCTGTAACACCAGCTCCAGCAGCAACTCCAGCACCTCCAGCTCCAGCAGCTCTAGCACCTCCAGCTCCAGTGGCTCCACTCCAAAGGCGTGCTCGCCGAACAAACCACTCACGCAGCTGCTGCGGAGACAGTCTCGGCGAAGCACCAGCAGAACCTCCAGACGAAGCTGCACCCTGAGGCTCAGCACCTCCAGACTCCGCACTCTCCGACGCAGCACCCCCAGGCTCAACACCCTCAGGCTCAGCACCCCCAGGCTCAGCACCCCTAGTCTCAACACCCCCTGGCTCAGCACCCCCAGTCTCAGCACCCACGGGCTCAGCACCCCCATGCCCAACACCCCCAAGCTCAGCACCCCCAGACCCAGTACCTCTAGCAGCACCTGAGTCCACAGCTACCTCACCAAGCACAGCATGAGGGGGTGGGTCTACCTGAGAGACACCTGAGGGAGCAGGACCCTGAGGAGGGAGAGGGTCTACCGGAGGGGGACCTGGAGCAAGGAAGAGCGGCAGAGGAGGGAGAGGGGCAGAGCGGTAGGGGAAGAGACGGTAAAAGGAAACCGACTCGTCAAACGTGACGTCCTGAGAGGGGAGGACACAGCACGAGGTAGGGTGGTAAAACTGCCAGCAAGGCGCGTCAGGGACAAAGCCAAGGAAGACGCAGGGAATGGTGCGGGCGGAGAGCTTGTCCGCGGACGGATCGCGGACAAAGGCACGAGAACCCCAGACCGGAACACTGACGCATCGCCAACCTTCCCCGTCCAACGCAGTGTGGGCGAGGTCTCCGGCAAGGAGACACGGGGCCAGAGGTTGAGCTGATGCGCAGCGTACTGGACCACAAACGGCCACAGAAAATGGGGAGCAGCCGCATGGATCATGGAGGTACGAGCGACCTCCATGACTAAGCCAATGCGGCGCTCAGCAATCCCATTTTGCTGAGGGGAGACCGGAAGCGTGAACGACTGGAGAATGCCCTCCCCACGACAAAAGTCCCGCAAGAGGTTGGAGGAGAACTCACCACCTCTGTCAGAGTGCAGATGCAGGACAGGAAGGTCCTGGCGGAACTGCTCGCGGAGCTGGAGACGGACTGTGCGGATCCAAGGGATCAAGACATCAACGACGTGACCCTTGCTGTGCAAGGGGAAGACCGTGGTGTACCGCGTGTAGTCATCAACTACCAGCAGAAAGTAGCGCTCGCGGCCCTGTCCACTGACGCGGGCTGGGCCCCACACGTCCATGTGGAGAGTCTGCAGGGGAGCAGTCGTCAGGGGAAACGAGGAGGAGTGAGGAGCGGCGCGCTGCCGCCCCTCGACGCAAGGAAGGCAGGGCGGGGCAGGCGAGGGAGGGAGGGGAGGCAGAGACCTGGGAAGACCAGAGACAAGGAGACAGGAGTGCATGCCACAAAGGCGTGGCAGGGAGGGGTGACCCAGGCGGTGGTGCCACAGAAGGGTCTGGTGCGACAGGAGGCGACACGAGCAAGGGGGTGGAACCTGACCTGACGCAAACACCTGAGCAGACGTAGCTACCTGAGGAGGCTCGGTAGCGAGTGTGTACAGACTCGACCCTAGCCGACGAGTCAACGTGGCCAGGTGACGACCCGTCCGCGTACACGTGCAGATCGACACACGCTGACCCCTAGGAGTGGTGGTAGTGACCATCGCATCCTGAAGGGTAGCAGTACTCACCAAGTTCGTAGAGAACGAGGGGAGGTGAAGACCTGACAGTGAGCCGGACGGAACCGCCGGACACGGGAGGACAGTGGAGGAACGGGCAACGACCGGGCCCCCAGAGGGGTCAGCCAGTCGGACCGGGACAGGTGCAGGGAGAGGAGTGAGAGTGGTGCTGTCACGAAAAAAACAGCGTGAGGCACCTGAGTCCAGCGTGAAGGTGTGCAAGGCCTCAGCAGGCGCAGTACCAGGGAGAGTACCAGAGTCACTAGCACCTAGAGCAGCAGCGGCTATACCTGGGTCAGGCGGCACACACCGGTAACAGTCACCCTCAGCACTAACAGACAAAGCATACATAGAACGTCATAGTCTAGAGCAAAGACATCCACACCCTGTCTAATCAGCTCTAGCCAGAGGGGAAGCTCAGCCGCGTTGCCAAACTCTGCACGCCAGGTGTCACTCAGACAGGAGAGGCAGCGGGATTGTGTGTGACCAACTGTCCCCCAAGTCTGACCAGCGTGATCACCTGTGCGAATGACGTACGGGCAGCGAGCACTACTTCGAGACGTCCCACGCTGTACGTACCACTCACATAGCTGCTGAGGCGTAAGAGTCTCGCGGTGACTCCGCTTCAGCTGCGCCAGGCCACCGCCAGAAACTTCCAACTGAACAGGTGCACAGCGACCGCCACTACTGCTGCCGCCACTACTCTTACGAGTGTACCACTCATGTAGCTGCTGGGGTGAAAGGGGTTTGTGCTGACACTGATGCAGCTGCATCTGGCCACCTCCAGAAATTCCCCACCGAACTGCTCCACAGCGACTTCTACTACGGCTGCCACCACCCCCACTGATGGCAACACGTCCGTCACCACTCTCACCGCTGCTACGAAGAGGAGTCATAGCGGTCAAGCATGGGGGGGGGGGGGGGGCACCAGTAGCAGTAGCAGCAGTAGCAGTAGCAACAGCAGCAGCAGCAGCAGCAGTAGCAATAGCAGTAGCAGCAGGAGCAGTAGCAGCAGTAGTAGTAGTAGTAGCAGCACTAGTAAGAGCAGCAGCAGGGGCCGAGGGGCCTAGGGGCCGAGGGGCCAAGGGGCCGAGGGGCCTGGGGCCAGGGGCTGAGGGGCCTAGGGGCCGAGGTCGAATGGGCTGCGGGGCCAGGGGCCTAGGGGCGTTGGGGCCGCGGGGCCAGGGGCAACGGGGCCGAGGGGCCGGGGGCCTAGGTCGACGGGGCCAAGGGGGGGGGGGGGGGGGGGGGGGGGGGGGCTAGGGGCGAATGGGCCGCGGGGCCAGGGGAAACGGGGCCGAGGGGCCCGGGGCCTAGGGGCGTCGGGGCTACGGGGCCAGGAGAGGAGGGGCCAAGGGGCCGAGGGCCTAGGGGCGAATGGGCCGCGGGGCCAGGGGCTAAGGGGCCGAGGGGCCACAGCTAGGGGCGACGGGGCCGAGGGGCCACAGCTAGGGGCGACGGGCCGCGAGGGGGCCGCGGCTAGGGGCGTCGTGTCGCGAGGGGCCACGGGGCCGAAGCTAGGGGT